TAAAATTGTGGAAATTTAAGCATCAATTGCTTATTTAATGATATTAAGAAATTACTAACAATTTTTTGTGATAACAGAATATGGTTATGTTTATTAAGAGTCCTTACCTTTTTTTTTTTTTAAGATTTTATTTATTCACTCATGGGAGACACAGAGAGAGAGGTAGAGCACAGAAAGAGAGAGAAGCAGGCTCCATGCAGGGAGACTGATGCGGGACTCGATCCCAGGACTCCGAGATCATGCCTTGAGCCAAAGGCAGACGCTCAACCGCTGAGCCACCCAGGAGTCCCAAGTCCTTACCTCTTTTTAATTAAACTTTTTATTTTGAGATAACTATAGATTCCAAATGCAGTTGTAAGAAATCATACAGAAAGATTATTCATATCCTTCACCAGCTCCCCAGTGGTAACACCTTGCAAAACAATAGTACAATACCACAACAAGATACTAACATTGATAGAGTCAGATATAGGACATTCCCATTACTACATTTCCATTGGTTCCTTCATGTTGCCTTGCATAGCCACAATCTCTTCTGTCCCACTTATAACTCCTTCTCTAATACCCAATAACAACAAATCCCTTCTCTAATCTATATTTTTGTCATTTCAAAATAAGTGGAATCATAAACTACACAAACTTTTGGGACTGCCTTTTTGTACTCAGAATAATTCTCTGAACACTCATCCACATTGTTCAGCATATCAGTAATTGGTTCCTTTCTATTACTGAATAGGATTACCTAGTAAGGAGTACCATTTTGTTTAATCTCCATGATCTGAAGGGCATCAGAGTTGTTTCCATTTGGGCAATCATGGATAAAGCTGCTATAAAAATTGGTACAAAGCCCTTATCTTTTAAAGATATATACTTAAATTTGAATGAATGAGATAGGATGTCTAGGATTTGCTTTTTAAAATTCCAGATTAGGGGCAGCCCGGGTGGCTCAGTGGTTTAGCACTGCCTTTGGCCCAGGGTGTGATCCTGGAGACCCAGGATCGAGTCCCACGTTGGGCTCCCTACATGGAGCCTGCTTCTCCCTCTGCCTGTGGCTCTGCCTCTCTCTCTCTCTCTCTCTCTCTCTCTCTCGTCTCTCATGAATAAATAAATAAAATCTTAATAAAATAAAATAAAATAAAATAAAATAAAATAAAATAAAATAAATAAAATAAAATAAAATTCCAGATTGGGTGAGATACTAAAAAAATAAGACTGGCCATGAGTTTGCAAATGTATTATTATACTATTTTCCTTATTCTTGTATATATTTATAATTTTCCATAATATAAAGCTTAAAAACAAGAAAACAGTAAAAAAAAATTACTTATCTGACTGTTTACACACCCACATACATAAATACAAACATCTTCAAGCAAAATTCAAGGTATGCTTTCTTATCTTATGACTTTTAGTCTGAGCCAAGATTGCAGGGGCTCTTTACCTAAAACATACAGCCCACACCTGCAAGTAATTATTATTGAAACATTCACTGTACCAATTTGGGCAGATCCAACCTAGGCATCTGTTAACTTTCTTTCAGAAGTTCTTTATTAGGCTACAGGGTTGAAATAATACGTAATTCGTAATGTTGGACAGAAGCAGGTAAGTAATCACCATAATCAAATGTATGAGATTCATTAGTGGCTTGTCATCAAAAGAGAGGGTTCATGTCTGACATGAACAGGTCCTTATCATCAAGACAAATGCTCAGAGAACAGAAGTGTGATTACTAAAGATGAAGAGCAACAAACTATATGAGTACAATCAAGCCTGGAAATGAAGTGAAATGCATTTTATATTGTGTGAAGGCTGCTTTTGTTTTTAAGCCACTCTGAAGGACAGGATATTATTATCATGTTCAGTCTGCAAGCTAATGGTTCTTTAGTGTAATTTTGCAAAATACTATCTACTGTTTGGTGCCACCAATATTGTATCAGCTCATTCTCCCCTAGTGCAACCTTCCATTCACCCCACTGAGGACACTCTACTTTTTCTCCACAAGTGGCTTTACAAAAATGAAGACCTACTCTCTCCAAGATCTCAAGCAGAGAAGAGCACGTAAATACCAAGCCATTAACTAATCTGGGATTAAAAGCCAAGACCACAAAAGGAGATGGTTCATGATGACTTTCAAATGCCAAGTAATGCAATGGTGACAAGTGAGTTTCCCTAAATTTTTAATGCCTGCATATGCACTGTGATGAGCAATTCTAAAGCTTAAACAAAGTTTGTTGTCAAAAGTGGGAAAGCTGTCCACAGATTAATCCCCATAAGACAAATCCCAAAGGAATATTTAAATGCTACAGTTGTGTTGTAGTTTGGTTTTATCAACTATTTCTCCCATTAAGTGAGCCACATACTTGAGTGTTAGAAATAATAATGCGTATTGTGGTTGGATTTGATCACTACTACTATACTATGACAGGTAGGAAAAGATGGTTCACTAACAGGCTGTCTACATGACATGTAAGTGTCTACAAATTAAAAGATATTAGTCAATTCCTTTAAAAGCAATCAATGCACAGATTGGTTCATTTGGTTGGTTTAACAACTTAGTTCTATCAATAGCAAGATATCTATTGGCAACATCATATTAGGAAACTAAGAACATACAGTTGAGTTCAGTCTTGTTCAAATGTCACAAGTCAAAACACAGACACACAGAATTAAAACCCAAAATGACATAGATCACCAGAAATTGTGCTATAGGCTTGCACTGAAATTAATAACAGGACTGCTAGTGATAGTAAAAGGGAAAGGATGAGAAATGGGCTCAAGAACATAATGCAAAATGTAAGTGAAAAGGAGCAGAGAAAAAAGGCACTAAAGTTACATACATATGTGTTTTTGGATGTCTCCGCCATCTATCTTTTGCCTCTAACCTTTGCCATCTTCCTTGACTCTTACAACCAAACATTTTCTGGGTCCTGTGGATTCTGACACTACAGTATACATTTTTAGATAGCCTGTGGTCACTGGCAGGACACTGGAAGCTGAAACTCTTAGCATTCACCTTGACACTTATTTTTAAAAGATTTTATTTATTTATTCTTGAGAGACACGGAGAGAGGCAGAGACACAGGCCGAGGAAGAAGCAGGCTCCCTGCAAGGAGCCCAATGTGGGACTCGATCCTGGATCCTGGGATCATGCCCTGGGCCAAAGGCAGACGCTCAACCACTGAGCCACCCAGGCGTCCCTCACCTTGATACTTAAAGGTTAATCTAAAACACTTTGATAAAATAAAATGTTCTTGCCAAAAATCTTCATGATGGATTTTCTTATATATCTCATTATTTTTCTTCATAGCAACCCCATGCCTACAGTCTACAGAACTGGGATTTTAGAGGGGGCCATTTTTGTGACCTGAAGTGGCCTTAAAAAAGAATCATGAGAGAACAAAGAGGAAATATAAAGACAGAACAAAGGCAACAGGAAGACATTAAGTCTGGAAAGAATTCCAAGAACAAACTGCACAGAACGGCTTCTGGGAAATGAACAGCCATGGCTGGCAGGAGCTGAGCCTGTGTGCAGTGGAGTAGAAGATAAGTTTGAAAGGGCAGATTGGAGCCAGGGAGTGGCAGCCACTGGAGCCCAGGTGAGGCACTTAGACCACATGTCACAGGCCTTTGGATGGCTACTGCAGTTCTGTGCACAGGCAAGATATGTGTATCATGGTTAGGAGGATGTGACGAAGGGTAGGGGCAGGAAGGAAGGAGCAGAAGACCAGAGGTGTGAGGCCTTACTAATTGTTCCAGGTGAGGCTACAGGACTTTATCTGAGAGGGCAACGGTGGGAAGGGAAAGGAAAGGACTAACTCTAGGGGCTGTGTGAAATATGCATGTATTTAAACCTAGTTTTGTCCTCAATTAAAACCTAGAAAATGGTCATTTGAAGTCACTAAGAACTACTTACAAGATGCTAAGGATTCTTATGTTGATTGGGAGGTAAATTGTCATTATTATGATCAAACACATAAGAGGGCATAAAAATTCTAAATGGCTGATAAAATCATTTTTAAAGGAAGCTTTGATTAAGCTTAACAGAGGCTGGGAAAAAATAAGTTTTTTGATATAAGTAAAAATTATTTTTAAGGAGACCATGATTGGTTACAAGGTGATGAGTATTTTTAAATTTCTAAAATAATTAACTGCTGATTTTAGCAAGGCAGTAATAATGACTTATATGATTGACAGATCTATTTTTCCCTACTTTTGCAAATCTACTTTTTATATCTACTTTTGCAGATGTATTTTCTCTACTTTTTTCAGATTGCTATTGAAAATCTATTATTAATCAGAAGTTAATTTTTTTTTGCAAATGTACCTATGAGTAAAACTCTGAAGCACTGTAGGTAACACAAGTTAAATCATGTACTTCTTAGTGAATATGCCAACTTAGTTTCTATTCTCTTTTACTTAATACATTTTTATTGAGCACTCACTATATGATAAGTGCTGTGCCAGTGCTGGGTGCATGATAAGGAGAAAAAAAGGGGTGCCTGAGTGGCACAGTTAGTTAAGCATCAACTCTTGTTGGTTTCAGCTCAGGCCATGATTTCTGGATGGTGAGATCGAGCTCAGCACAGAATCTGCTTGAGATTCACTCTCTCCCTCTCCCTCCCCCACTCCTTACCCCACTCATGCTGAGCACTCTCCCTCGCTAAAATAAATAAATAAATCTTTAAAAAACAGAGGGGGGGGTGGAGTTCTGCCTACATGGGAATGCACAGTACAATGACAAAGAAAGACATTAATTAAAAGAAAACTATCCAAATATATAATTTAAAATTGTGATAAGCACACACAATTGCTTTGAGAGCTATAATAAGGAAAAGAAACGAACTCTGAGAAGGTGTTTCAAAGGAAACTGTCTTTGAGCTGAAATCTGTAAGGATGTAGAGGAATGAAATAAGGAAAAAAAGAGTAGAGGAGAGAGAACTAGAAGATGAGCAGCAGAGGGAAAAAAAATCACATACAATAAAATAAAAATACTCTCTAACCTGTTGGGTAATGGTGTCCCATGGCTCCTGCAGCAGCCGGGTCTTATAGCATTCATGAGTTCCTTCCCATATGTCCTTCAGAGCTAAAGGCCTTCCATCTGCAAAAGCACATGGCAAAGACCATTGGTCAGTAAACCATTTGACACAATGGTGCTTGGTGTTTATCTGAAACTACTAGAAGAATGTTATGATTTTAAAAAAAGAAATCTTTGCTAGTATACATATTACTTATATATCAAAAGAGTGCTATATGAATTACTATTTTCTTCCTGAGGGAAATTTAAACATTCAAGCTTCTCTCCTTTGTAACCATCTAGCAGTTCAATTATCTGCTCATTCATTGCCTATAGGAATTATGCAAAATAAATAAGGTCCAAATGTATTTTAGAGAAAACTGATAGGTACAAGCACAGGCAAAGGACCAGGTACACAGACTCCCATATTCACAAGGGTGCACTATGAATACCTCTGAAATCTTAATACTTCCTCTAGTTCTGAAATCAAAGATGATACATACACATGCTTCTTTCACTCTCTCATTGACTATCTGTAATGTTCGAATCACTCTGTTGAGTACCATGGGGAATAGAGAAAAGGAAAGCACACAATTTCTCCTAGTAAGAAGCCTACCATCTACTAGGGAAGCTATGACAAGTATATCAACAGTATATTAATACTAAAATACTAGGTAGAAAGTGGTTGTTGCCAAGAGGAAAACTGCAGTTCTCACACAGTCCAGAGGAGGGAGTCAGTAACATCCAGTGTTTATGGCAGGTGGAGGGACATGAGCAGGAATTGGCATGAAGAGATTAGGAAAATATCTAGTGAACAATAATTCTGTTTTTCTTTAAACAGCTTCACCAATTCACTTATATTCGTAACAAGCCACTATGGCACAAGTAGCAAAACAGGTATTTAAATTTGTAAAAGAAAGTAGAAAGAAGAATTTACCTAGAGACTTTGAAACTGCACACTGCTGGACAGAATGTGGCCTTATTACTAAAATTTAACGCTACTTGGCCCATTCAGAGCTATCAAATCCTCAGAACTTATGGGTGTGTTCTTTTTCTCAGGCAAGTGGACAAGAGCATGTAAAGAAAACTCATCAGTGTATCAAATCATTAGACCTAAAGATGTATTTGGTCATTGGATGCAATAAAACTAAGGGAAATAATCCACCCCAACACCCCCCCACACACACACACAAATACACACCAAAGCAAAAGGTATTGTACTCAGACTCCTGGAGTTTAAGTAGAGATGTACAGTGTAGGAGAAAAGCACTGGACTTGGAGCCCAGGCTAAGTTTAAACTCTGGTGTTGGGATCCCTGGGTGGCGCAATGGTTTAGCGCCTGCCTTTGGCCCAGGGCGCGATCCTGGAGACCCGGGATCGAATCTCACGTCAGGCTCCCGGTGCATGGAGCCTGCTTCTCCCTCTGCCTGTGTCTCTGCCTCTCTCTCTCTCTCTTTCTCTGTGACTATCATAAATAAACTAAAAAAAAAAAAAATTTAAACTCTGGTGTTGGCACTTACGCCCTATGCGACAGCAAGTTACCTGGCTTTCAACTTTACCTGTAAATGAGGATAATTATCCTTCTCAAATCTTGTTCATGTGAACAGGCTTGCATAAGTGAACACACCCAGTACTGTGCCAGGCACACAGTCAGAGTTTAATACATAGCAGGTATCTCCTCCCAGCCTCCACTGCACCACTGCAGTATTTCTCATACTAGAAAGCTAAAGGATTCATTTATAGATCACTATTTCTTAGAATTTTCTCATGTTTCTACACCATGCACATTGTGTTTGACGATATAATATACTAATACCATAGGCAGGGCATTTCTCATGTTTGACCTGAAAAGTTGAACTTTCCCTCAACCTTTATTTTCAATAAATAGCAATAGAATATTTTGATACATTTTCAATAAGTATCTTCATCTTGGCATTTATCTGGCGGCAGGAGACCATTATCTTGTGATAAATAGTTTTATTCCATTGACATTTCCATGTCTGTAAAATGAACAAGATTTATTCATCCAATTAACATTTGAATGTCATGTTTAGCTACAAGTTAAAAACAAGCTGCCTTCAGTGTCTGTTTTATATTGTTTTCTGAACACATTTACAGAACAGGGCAAAACTTTGCCCTTAAGGTAAGCACTACAGATCTTCAAAATAAGCACATGCACACACACACACACACACGTGTGTGTGTGTGTGTGTGTGTGTACTGATGTTGGAAGAGGGGAATAGGATCTTAAGTACCTCAATGTCAAATAGTAAACCAAATAATCAAATTATAAAAAGAAGCTTTTACAATAATTTTCAGATGTCAAAGTTATAAGAAATCAAGTTGTAGGATAATAAAATGTGAGAGCTGGTGTAATTAGTCATTTTATAAATAAGGAAACCAAGGTCTTGGGAAATATACATCAGCCAAAATTATGCAGCCAGTTCCTGGCTGCGCTGAGCTGGAATTCAAGTCTCAGTGCCCTTCCCGCCATTCCCTACAGCCTCTGAGGGTGGAGACTGCGCCTATGCATTCACCACTGCAGCCCCACCATGTAGTTCCAACTTCCATTCACACATTGCAAATGCTTTATAAATATTTACTGAATAAATTATAAGTGAAAGGACGCCCTCCTTAACTTTATTTCCTCTAAGACAGATAAAGGCTTTGCAGATCTAGAGAAGAATGCTTGGTTTAATATCTGGCCATCAGTGATGATTTTAATTTGACTCCTTAAAATATTTCAGCCTACAATCTAAGGATGGAGTGAGTGGCTCGGATATTACCACCGCCAAACCCCCCACATACTCTGCTGGAACCATTCATACAAAATGCAATAATCAGCAGCTAGCAACAATGTGGAAAAACCCAGAACAAATGTAATAGAATATTTTCATTAGATTTGATGCCAGAATTGAGCGTATGTGACGTAAGTTTTCAGATAACACCAAATTTACTGGAAAAAAAGTTAACATCTTACAGCACAAGACCTAAAAAAAGTAATCTGGTCAACTTAGAATAAGAGATACAGAGTTAAAAATAATAAATTCAAAACATAAAAAGAGTCATGACGCTCCTACGTGCATGTTTCTAAGAGTGCTACCCACTTGCTAGAAAGAGAACAGTGAATAGATATGATTGCATTCTCTAATGCATTTAGAGACTGTTTAAAAATGCACGTATTAATGATGATCAAATGAGCGCGTGTGCAGGCTACTATGATAAGAGTGCATCTCTCCAGCTTCTGCTGACGATCTACAATGCAGATGATCTAGGTATATTCGCTCTCACATACACATATGACAATAATGACTTCATGAACTGTGATATGGGTTCTTTTCTCTAAGCCTTCATCATCAACTTGCCTAGTCACAGCTTGTGCCTTCATGATCAAAGACATACAAAAGTTAGTTTTGTGATCTTTTCTGCTAAAACAAAAAATTTTGACCTAATCAGCAATATCTCCAAAACCATGCCATATGCTATTGATGCATAAAATATATTCAAAATATGGTTGCGATTCTAATTATTTTAAAAGCAAAGGGAACTTTCTGAAATTCCACTGAAGCCATTAAACTGAGATCATCAAATATATTTCAAAAATCACGTCATAAAACTGAAGCTTAAATATTGCAGAAACTCGAAGAACTTTGTGATTTTGACTCTATCTATGTATTTATGAAAACCAAAGACCCAAAACCTCAACCTAAAATTAAATTGTGGGCATAAACAAATACTTGGTTAAGCTCATGAAACACATTATTACATGCCTTCATGTTCAGTTGAAGGTATCTTCAATCAGAAACTTTAAGCCCTGTTAAGAGGGTCTATTTTTTTCTGTCTGGCCTCAGCCAGAGGAGACATAAGCATACTCAATCAACAACTCTCTAGTTATAGACCCATGATATTCGATAGCACCAATTTTAACATGCTTAGAAATCTCATTAATCTCACTGAGGCTGAGAAGTTCAGTAAGATCCCCTGCATACTTGAAAAATTGAAGCAGAAGCTGAAATAATTTCAGCAGCAATCCACAAAGTAAGCATGGTAAATGAAGGCCATTTATTTAGCAAGTGTTTATTGAGTGCCTACTGTGTGCCTCTATCTCCTGGAACGATAATACATATTAGAGCTAAAGGAATACTCTGTCAGCGATCTAGAATGTCAATGACAAAAGAAGAAGATACACTGGATGAAAAATAGAATAATTAAAAAGTACAATCTTTAGCAACTGCCAGTAGCATTTAATTTAGCAATTTTCATATAAAATCTCTCAATTGAATAATAACCTACGTGTCAAGTAATCTATACATTACTCAAAACGTGCAGCTCTCTAAATTAAATTTCTCAGGGCTATTAGTTTTCATGAATCAAATAACAGCATGAGACACTGGTACCACCTAACTGTAGTGAAAGCATGCTGAAGTCACCTTTATCCTATTGTGCATGGTTTCACTAAAATTTCCTAAGTCCTAAAATGAAGATTGCAGAGAGTAAACATTATCTACAGTAAGTTTAAGAATAATGTTCTGAATGTGGCCACTAGAAATAAAAAGGAAAAGTTGGATTATTCACACTGAAATATGTCATTATTCAATATATTGTCTTCAAGAGAGCTTTGAAGGATATAAAAATTCATGTCATACTCCACAGTAAGGCAGAGATGATGCTCCACCAAAGGGGAAAATTCATTTTTGCTTCAGTGAGAAAATTACATTGTGATATGAAATGAGTGTTAATTGTTCAGGTACATTCATATCAGTTACTATGCTGCCTAATTCTGTCATTTTTATTTATCCTTACATCCATTTTTTAGTACTTTATATCTTTATTAATCTTAATTAATCTCAGGAAATCTGAATGAAAATTCCAAAAATACAGATTATGGCAACTTCTCTCTACTGACATATGATATTGGTTAACTTGTATGTTTCTTAGATTTTGGTTACTTTATCATGCAATAAAAAAAATGAGAGTTTGAATCTCAACCCCATAATTTTTTATGTACCTTTGAATAAATCATTTAACCCCTTCAAGCACTCAGTTTTTTGTTTTTGTTTTTAAGCACTCAGTTTTTATGTACA